TTTACACACCACAGTGTGGGTATTCAAACTCTTTGTGATGAATTACAAGTCATATTTCAGTCAATCAGTTGGTTAAAACCACTTACAACAAACAAAAATTCAGGATTCGCCTAGGGTCATCACTACCATACGCAGCGCGCAGTCAATAAGTTGATTCAACATCAAGCCGGGAAGGTAAACCCGCGAAGAAATTTCAAGTTCAGAAATGAATTCTGCATCAAACATCAAATCGGAAGGGAATCCCGCAAAAGACATCAAGTCGGGGAAGGAATCCCGCAAAAGACATCCAATCGGGAAGGAATCCCGCAAAAGACATCAAGCTGGAAGGAATCACGCAAAGAAATCAAGTCAGAAATGAATTCGCATCCACCATCCAGCCGGGAAGGAATCCCGCAAAGACATTCAAGCCGGAAGGAATCCCGCGAAGAAAATCAAGTTCAGAAATGAATTCTGCCATCAACAAGCAAATCTGTAAAATGAATTCCACCAAATCAGCATCAAGTCGGAAATTAAATTTTGCCCCAACAGCAAGTTCATTCCGCACCAAGTTGAAATAAAATTCTGCACCAAGCCGGAAAGAATCCTGCGAGAAATCAAGACAGAAAAGTGAATTCTGCATCAACATGTCAAGCGGGGAAGGAAATCCTTGCAAAAAGACGTCCAGCTGGGAAGGATCTCGCCAAAGACATCAAGCCGGTAAGAAATCCGCGAAGAAATCAAGCGGAGATGAATTCCGCACCAAAGCCGAGCACCGAAGTTCGCATCCCGGGAAGGGAACTACGAAGAACCTGATTCTCCCCATCCCCGAAGAAGTTCTTGGAGATACGTAGGCAGCCACAAAGGCGCCGGTCCCACAAACAATAAGTTTGCATCATAAAAAGCATTTTCTCTTTGCCAATATAAAAAATTATATATATAAAAAAATATATATATATATAAAAAAAAAAAAAGCGAAGAAACAAAAAAAAAAAAAGCTGGAGTTGAAAACCCGAAAGGGCGGCTTCATGCAAGAATTGAGCCCGCTTAGGCTGAAAACCCGAAAGGGGCGGTCTAGGAAATTAGGGCAAAAGAGCCTGCTAGGTCGAAAACCCGACAAAGGGTGGCCTAACTAGGTAAAAAAAACAAAAAAAAAAAAAAAAAAAAAAAAACAAAAAAAGTGCTTTCATTGAAATTCTTTTAGAGAGTCCATTTTGTAGGATGAACCACTTAAGTTCCTTCGAGTCAAAAAATTTCACTACAAGGAAAAATTTGAGTCTCTAAATCGAGTCTCTAAAATCAAGTCTCCATCACCAGTGGTCATTCCACAAGGAGTAACAAAAATCGAGTCATTCTCAAAAGTTCATTTTGAAAGCGTTACTCTTGAGTCATTCCTCTAAAAAAAAAAAGAGGAAAATTGTCAATTCCCCGGGGTTTCCAAAAAAACCCTAAAAAATGCAAACATAAATCGTTGAGAGGTAATTCTTTAATACCTCGTCTCCACTCGGACCATCGTTTTTTCTTCGATCCTTTTCAGACGAGCGGATGTCAGGCACATTGTCTGTTTCCTCGAGTTTCATATTAAGTGAATTTGTTCTTCTTTGAATTCCTCAATCGATGGACAAGGTACAACACCAATGTTTTGAGTATTCCATGGTCAGGCACCATTCTGGGTGGCAAAGAAGTGATAAAGAACCTTCACCATTCTCCCATCACAGAAGTATCACCGGGAAATTTCTAGTCTTTCATTTAAGAAGAAAATTACTAATTGTCAGCTAATAAAAGGCATCAAACAGGGGGTGGAAATCCTCCAGGTCGGATTCAGGGCAAGTGTTAACATACACAACCAGGGTTGGAAACCCAACTTATCGTCGACCTCTTTTTACATAAAACCTAGGGTGAACCCTAACCAATAAGCCAACATTCCTTCATTCCAAAAAACCAATGCCATTTGTCATTTCGACTTTAGGTGGACCCTTTGGTTCTCAAAAAGATAAAACAAAACTCTTTTCAAGCCCTCATTCTTAAGAGGCCCAAAAACATCTTTTTAAGTCCTCTAAGAGGCAAAAAATCACTTTTTAAGCCCTCATTAAGAGGGCAAAAACATCTTTTCAAGTCCCTCTAAAGAGGCAAAATCTTTTTAAACGCCCTCAATTAAGAGGAAAACATCTTTTCAAATCCTCTTAAGAGGCAAAATCTTCTTTTTCAGCTCCTCTAAAGGCAAAACTTCTTTTTAAGTCCTAAAAAAAAAAAATAATAATAATAATAATAATAAAATAAAAATTTCACATTCGGCCGCAGAGGCCCAACAATCACAATCAGACCCAAGAAGCCCAAAATTCACATTTTAAACGCCCACACAGGCCCGAAAAATCACAATCCAGGGCCACAGGAGGCCCGAAAATTCACATTCAGGCCACAGGAGGCCCGAAAAAATCAACATTCAAGGCCACAAGAGGCCCGAAAAATCACATTCAGGCCACAGAGGCCCCCGGAAAAATTCAACATTCGGCCGCAAAGGCTGAAAATTCACCAATTCGCCTAAGACCCGAAATTCAAAACTCGGCCTAGGGCGTCCGAAAATTCACAACTCAAGCCTAAGGGCCCCCATAATCCCAATTTGGCCCAAAGGTCCGAGTTTCGCCTTCAAAATTTCTCCTTCGACGCCACTTGCTTCTCTAAATCGATTTTATGATAGCCAAGTGGGGGGCAACTGTGAATACTTCAAATTTTGACCTTGCTACAGTAAATTTTGACTTTTTACAGTAACTTTGACTTTTCACAGTGTTCAATGGCCGGACTGGCAAACAGTCCGGCCGGACCGAAGGCCATTTTGACATTTACTGGAAAGTTATGCCCAATATGGTTACTTAAAACGTCCAGACAGGCGGTCTAGCGTCCGCCCCCAGCGCTGTTTTTTTCCTTATTAAAATCAGCGCCCACGATGCGAACTTTTTACTGATTCAGTCTGTGTTGACGGAACGCTCTCTTCTCCCCACGCTCCTTGCGTTCTTTTACTGCTTTTCTGCATTTAGTGTAGGGCTATTTTATTAACTCTTGCTGTTGTGATATTGGCCACTTAATTGAATTTCAATTTTAATTAATATCCCCAAACGAGCGAGCTTATCTGGAATTTTCAAGTGAAGCTAAGAGTGGCCGCCAATTTAAACTCAGGTAATAACGAAAACCCTGTCCATTTAATCAGCAATTTTGTGCACATTCTCTTCTACTCCAATTCTGAATTAAACTGCTGCATTAAATGCGTTCACGTCATCAATTTGGGCAAATTAAAACTGCCTCAAATTTAAATATGATTAAGCTTCAATGCCCGGTTAATTAATAAATCGTGGTATAAAGCCTAAATCCGAACATACTGGCTAAAAAGCCTATTAATTAATAACTACGGTGTTTTGTAATTTGCCTTTATTTTCGAACAAGTTCGGCTAAAAGTCCAATTATCAATAATTGGTGGCTAAAAGCCTTAATCAATTCACGTTTTTTTGGAAACAAATTGCCTCAGTTTAGTCAATCACATTTTGGCAACAAATTGCCTTAAATTACGGCATCAATTTTTGGCAAAACGCCTTGAATAATCAATCTTTTAGCTAAAAGCCTAAATCAAATCATTTCTTTTTTTTTTTGTTGTTTTTTGTGGCGACAATCACCCCAATCAACAACTTTTGGCAAAACAAATTTTGCCTAAATCAACTCATTTTGCTAAAAGCCTTCAAATAATCAATTTTGGGCGACAGCGGGGAGCCTACAATCACCATCAATTTTGGCAACAAATTGCCTAAATCAATCCTTTTTGGCTAAAAACCTTAAATCAACACTTTTGGCAAACAAACGCCAATAATCAAATCAATCAATTCTTTGCAAAATTGCCTGAACAAAATGCACGAAGCATACACACACTCATGCATTAAGCATACCCCATTCAAAGCCCTTTAAAAAGGCATAATCGAACTACGTCAACTTTGATCTTCCATTCAAATGGAAGTACGTTAGGCACGTTGGTATTTAACCCGAGCCAAGTCGAAAATCACTTAAACATTTTTCATTGGTCCAATTACATCATTTACCTTGCAAAGCATTCATTCATTAGCTTAGTTAATCAGCATTGACATAGTCTCGGGATCCACCTCCGGGTTCGCAAACTATGCCTTAAACATGGGATAATTAATCTATAATTAGGGGGTAATTAAAAATTGGAGTCAAACTTAGGGTTTTTTTCCTAGTTACCCTAAAATAATTAAACAACGGTGGCGACTCACACATTTACATGCATTTCTGCCTTAGTCATATGCATTATATGCCTATTTTTAGGGGGGCAGGGGTTCACAGTGCCAACCTCACTTGGGGATTCGTGTAATCATTTTGCATAAAGTGGAACTACGATTGCTGCATTCAACTAACCTACCCTTCTTCAGGGTATTTATTTGTTGTGCTTTGTTTTGCAGGGGTACCCTAACACGAATTCAAGTGTTCTTTCTTTAAGAATACTGATAAGGAAATTTGGACTTAATTTGTTAAAGTTTAATGGAAAACATTTAAATTTGTTGATTTATTGCACGATTTTGATAATCTTTTTTTCTCCATTCATAAAAAAAAATGAATTTCAAATGAATTTTCTTCTCTTTCTTGTTCAAACTTCGTGAAGTCTGGATAGCAAGTAGCGCTGATCGGCAGGTCTCCTTGATTATGTCGACGGGACAGCCAAAGCGTCCTCCCTGTTACCGCCAAACCTGCCTAATCCTTTTTAGGGGGCCATTGAGTATGCATACTGTTGGACCCCACGCGAAACTCTTTGTTTCACATGGGGTTAGGTATATCCCATTGCTCTAGGTTCAAGGGTCCCCTTTATAAGCCTTAATTCTCTATTTGTGTTCCATAGCCTATAGAACCTATCCTTTAGGGCTGTTTGCACCCATATGTGAATTATACATGTGAATGAATTATGACATGATGTGTGAATACTCAAATTTTACCTTTGCTACAGTAACTTTTGACTTTTCATACAGTAGTCAAATGCCGGACTGCAAACAGTACGGCCGAGAAACCGAAAAGCCATTTTTGACATTTACTGGAAGAGAATCTGCCAATATAGTACTTAAAAACGTCCGGAATATCGCGAGGATCGCGGAAACAGGTCCTCGCGAATATTTTTCGGAGGTCCGAAACTCCCGAAGCTCCTTCGGAGTGAAAGGCCCGATAAGGCCGCCGCCGTTGTATGGCGGCCGGGCCGCCGCCTCCGGCGGCATCGGCCCGCTAGGCCCAGGCGGCAACCTGCCGCCGGACCCTAGCAGGCAGCTGCCGCCCCGCTGGGCGGCACCTGCCGCCCCACCGAACTGGGCGGCAAGCTGCCGCGCTCCCAGGTCGGCAACCCCCCGCCCAGTGGGGGCGGGGCCGCCGCCCCACCACAGGGCGGCAAGCTGCCGCCCTCCCGGGCGCACCTTGCCGCCGAGCCAGGCAGCACCTGTCGCCCACCTCTTGGGCGGCAGCCCCTGCCGCCAAGCCAGGCGGCCACCTGCCGCCCTGGACCCGAAAAATGGGCCATATAAATAGAACCATTTTCAGCCATTTTTCTGGCACCCCGGTCTCGTGTTGACGGAACGAATCCTTCTCCCTCTCAACGCTCCTTGCGTTTCTTTACCGCTTTTTGCATTTAATTTAATTTTTATTAGCATTTTTATTGTGATATTCTGGACATTAAAATTATAACAAATTAAAATTAATAATATTTCCTAAGCGAAGGAGCTATAATCTGGAGTTAAAAGCGTCTCGATTAAATCAGGTATGGAAACAAAACTCTGCCTATTTAATTTTAGCACTCATGCATATTTCTCTTCTACTCTTAATAATTCTTACAATTGCATAAATGCATTCACGTCATCATTTAGACAAATAAACTGTCTTAATGGAAACACGATTAAAGCCTTAAATTGTCCGTTAATTATAACTGTGTTATTTTAAAGCCTTAAATCCGATAATATTGGTTAAAGAGCCTAGTTAATTAATTAACGACGGTTCAATTGCCTTATTTCAAAACAAATCCGGCTTAAGCCAATTTTAATCAATAATTGTGGCTAAAAGCGTTAATCAATCAGCGTCTCGACAATAAATTGTGATTAAGCTCGAAACGCCCCGATTAATTGATAAATCGTGGCATTTTAAAGCCTAAATCGCACATTTTTGGCAAACTAATTGCCTAAAACACACATTTTGCCAAAGGCCTTTAAAATCAACCATTTTAGCGAACAAATCGCTTAAATTAAATCAATTTCTGTGCCAAAGGCCTTAAAAATCAACCATTTTGGCGAAAAAATCGCCTTGTAAAAAAAAAAAAATCCCTCCTCTTTTCTTTTTTTTTTTTTTTTTTTTTTGT